AGCTTGACTGGTCAGAGGGCTGCTGAGTCAGGTAACGCGACTGATGACTGTGCAAAACTGCTGACGTGGAGTTTGCAGTCTGCTCAATCTAAGATAGAATATAGGGAAAATATCCATTGAGTTTTTTTTATATATATTTTTGGTCAAAACGAGGTTATTTTGTTTTTATTTGGATCAACCCGGGTTGACCCTTTCAACCCGTGACTCGAACTTTGATTAATACTTAAAAGTGCATTTTTATCAAGGTTTTATATCATTATTTTTACACTTGAACATTCATGGAGGCTCTTCTTCAATAAAGGTGGCTGCCAACCTTTGACATCTTGAATGAGTATACATGGTTGGTGCAATAGTCAATAGTTGTTGCACATTGGCAAACAACCTAACATAAACAAATCATGGAAACATGGCATGTTGTAGATTATTTAGCAAGAGGTCCTGGAAATTTGTTCGGTAGTAGAATGCAGCATGTCAATTCACCATGAACTGTCTGAAAGTCCCCTAGCCCAAGTATTAAACTACTTATTCTCGTACAAATATGAAAGCTTCGTATCCTTTTATCCAGCCTCAAGAGCAAGATTGCAGAGCTGGAGTCAGAGAATGAACTCCTCCGCAAACACCCAGCAATTGCAGAACAGATGACTCCTGAAATAATTCTGCCTCGGGTCAAGGTATCTTCTCTAAGATTGTCCTTTTCCTTAGATAAAAGTCATCACATAATTTGTCACTAACCTTGTATAATGATTCAGAGTTTTGAGAATGGTCGTCAAAGAGAAGAAGAGCCTCAAATGACAAAGGTATGGCCACCTTCCACGAACACATTTCCAGAAGAAAATAGATACTTCCATGAATTCATCCCAGACCTAATGATAAATTTTGTTTCCAGGAATCTGAGCCTTCCATCTACCTCTTAACTACACAAAGATCCCTAACAGATAGACAGCATGTAGCCAGCTGGATGCTGAATTCTGGCAAATACCCAGAAAAAAGCTCAAAGAGCATCGCCCGATTGTGTAATTGCTGGAAAGAACAGTCTGATATTTCTTCTCCATGAACAGGAAAACCATGATGTACTTATCAAATGTCTTATGGAAGATAAGCGGTTTGACGAGACCAGACCTGTTGCTGCTTGTGTTGCGTATAAAACACTTCTCCATTGGAGATCCTTTGAAGCAGAGAATGCAACTATTTTTGACAAGATTATTCACACAATCCGATCATCAATAGAGGTAGCATTCTCCAACCAATTGAAGCATATTAACCATATACAAGGAAATTAAAGTACTATCAGTTAATTGTGATACTGATTTTCCATGTTGTGCTATTGAAGAGTCAAGACAACATCACTGATTTAGCATACTGGCTATCAACTACTTCTACCCTTTTGTATCTGCTTCAAAATACTCTTAAAGCAAGCAATACAAAGAATATATCTTCACGGCGTAACCGAAACTCCCCAGCTACCTTATTTGGTAGAATGCCGCTGGTAAGTTCTATCAAGTTAATTCTTTAGTAATATCTATTTCAATGACAAAATAGTAATACTCGAACGTGCAATATCAGGGATTCCATTCATCTTCAGTTGGCATGGGAATGTCAAGTGGGTACAGTGGAATGGTGGGAAATGGAAATGAACAATCAAAAGTGGAAGCTAAGTACCCAGTACTGCTATTTAAGCAACATCTGACTGCATACGTTGAGAAAATATATGGCTTGATCAGAGACAGTGTAAAGAAAGAGATTGGTCCGTTTCTGAATTTGTGCATCCAAGTAAGCATATTGAATAAGAGTGAATCACATCACAAAGTAAGAGCTGAATCATTTAATGGAAATATCATGTTTACTTGAATGAACAGGCTCCAAGATCAATAAGAGCTAGATCAATAAGAGGGTCATCCAAAAATATCCATTCCAGTGTTGTTACCAAACGGCAATCATCAAATATACACTGGCAAAGCATTGTCAATAAGCTAGATCATACATTGGGCATAATGTCAGAGAACCATGTAAGAACGAACCTCCTTTCTAATATGTTTTTCAGACTTTGCAGGGACTGGCAAAGGAAGTGTTTATCGCCTAACGTCTGGAAATTTTCAGGTCCTTCCAGTGTTCATGAGGAAAATCTTTGGTCAGGTGTTCTCATTCATAAATGTAGAGCTTTTTAACAGGTAAGAAGAACTTTTCTTTTCTTTATTTGTCATGTGTTTAACTATATGTTCTCATTCTATGTAAAACTCTATCCATATGGTTGACCTGGCAGCTTATTGCTTCGTCGTGAATGCTGCTCGTTTAGCAATGGAGAATATGTAAAGGCCGGTTTGCAGGAATTGGAACAGTGGTGTCGTAAAGCATCAGATCACGTAAGCAAAAGAACAATTAATATATAATTAGCAACGCAGAAAAAAAGACAATTACTCTAACATCTTGTTATTTATTCCATAGCTCGCAGGATCATCATGGGATGAACTCAGACACATAAGGCAAGCTGTTGGGTTTCTGGTACATCTTCTAGCAATCCGAAAAGGCCTTTATTTCTTTCCAGAATAGTGCATTTGATTTGAACTAGCTAATTATTTGTTTTGCTAATATATGCATGTAGGTCTCGCATCAAAAGGCTCAAAAATCTTTAGAAGAGATCACCAATGAACTCTGCCCGGTAAGTAGGTTTGCACGTAGTAAATAACAGAATTAGAACTGTGGTATAATATAATTTGTTGGTTTTCCTTTGACAGATGTTGAGCATTCCACAAATATATCGCATTGGGACTATGTTCTGGGATGACAAATATGGAACTCGGGGATTATCTCCATATGTAAGCAAAGAACTCTCTCTTTTACTGGTTTATTCTTTATTTGGAAGTGGGCTTCATTAAGAAAAATTAAAAATGTTGTGTAGGTGATTAGCAAGATGAGAACACTGATGGCAGATGTTCAATAAAAATTACTAATAATACATTCTTACTCGATGTTGATTCAAGGTATGTATGATGAAGAGTGACAATATTTCTATCTTCTCATTACTACTAATCTTCATTGTTTAAATACTAATCTTTTGGTTTGGTTTCAGCATACCTTTCTCAATGGAAGAGATATTCGGATCCTTGAGTGCAATTCGTCTTTCTAACATGGATCCTCCACTGCTGCTCCGTCAAAGATCAGATTTCCATTTTTTATTGCAGGAAACACAAACGAAAGCAGCCCGAACGTGCCTTTGATTTCATTTTTCATTTATTGATTTATGTGCTTATATACAGTTTGTTTTGCTTCCAAAGGGTGGGTGAGGTGTGACAGTGAATTCAACTTTTGCAATTCTTTTGTTTGTTGATCACTTTCTCATCAATTTTTGAATGTACATGGGTTTCTGTAATCACAATGGTTCATGAAAAAAGGAAGATTTTTTTGTATCAAAGAAGATAATAACATTTCGTGATGTTTCTATATTTTCTTCGTTGAAGCTTGTAAGATGACAACACCAGAAAATGATTATAAGCATCGAAGTTGCAAGAATCAATGGTGACAACGTTAGCATGTGACAGAAACAGCGCAAATGTCTTTGTTGTGATTTTCTCTGCATATTCTGCTTGGTGAGTTCATCCATAAATGGATTGGATGACGAAACCACCCACCACATTAAATAAATCAAAGCCTATCCGTCTTTAGTATCTTCTTGATTGACTTCCAATTCACTAGCATCGATACGTAGTTCATCACTCAAGGTGCACTTGGATGGATCGCAATTCATCAATCTTGACCCATGATGAATTGATTGCAAGAAATTGAAATAAGCATACTTGATGTCGAACTGCATATCATACCCTGCCACGATTACTTGTATGTTAGCATTGTGTGAGATTTAACAAGGAAAAAAAAAAAGAGCCCAGCAATACTTGATTCTTACAGTAGTTTAGGGCAATAGTGCATCCATTGTCATCTGGACTCTGTCGAACATGATGAAACCACATACTTGGCCTGCATCAACTTCACGAGATTAGCCTCGATATTATGATGGGTTTATTATTCAGCACGATAGCAGTGCTGCGTTTCCCTCTAAAAATCACCCACAACATTCACTTGCATGAAATGTATTTCAAAGTAATTTTTTCTAATAATGGTATAATACAAAATAATGCAAGTGAAGCGAATTGAACAAGTAAATGAAATCTTTCTTACAAGTAGAGAATCTCGCCAGCCTTGACAGTACAATGAAAGGGTGTCGGACCATTGAAATACAGAGGAAATTTAGACATTTCAATTTCCTTAGTCTCTGGAGATGGGTAAGGATTCACGCTGCACCATGGCACGTACCTCAATGGCTTCTCCAACTCCAATCTAAATTCTCCACTGTCACTGGAATAAGAATACTGAGCAGCTGGGAAATCTTGAATGTACATGCGGTGCATGTCAGTAGGAGGAAGAAGCAAGAATTCCTTCTCCCCCGAAACAACAGCATACAGATTCTCATAATGGTCCTTGTGGAATGAAGTTTCAGATAAATGGTTTCCAATCCACAGATTCACCGCCTCCGGAAGGTTGCCTCCCAGTGCCTCAGTCGCCCATGGGATGTGGGCATCGCAGTCTGAAGCCAATGCCAGATATTCTTCCCGGAAGCAGTCATTCTGCTGCTGCAGGTATGCGACCAGATTTTTTCTTTCTGAATTCAGAACAAGATCCAGTGCACTAGGGAAAGGAACACGCTCAACGTGAGCAGAGGCAAAGCATATTTCTTCTTTTTTAGGGTTTTCTAGGGGAACAAGGGAATCAGCACGGCCATCTGGGGTGAGGTGAAGGGAGACGATGGAATTGGAAAGGGTGGAAGAGAGATAAGAGAGACTAGGCCAACGGGTGAGAGCAGGCCAGTGGGAGATGGCATTAGAAATGATGCAAGGCTTGTTAGGGGATACAAAGTCTCTTAGGAATTGGAGTGGGGTTGGGGCTGAGTCTAGCCTTTGTATCCTGTTTCCCAGGCTTAGCTCCCTCACCTCCCCCCACAGCCCTTCTAGCAATCTTTCTCCCTCCTTCAACATTCCACTTTTCTTGTGCTTATGTCTGTCTTATTACATTCCGCCTTTCACCACTCTTTGTGCAAATCACTCTCACATGCCAGAGTCTTTGTCAAACCCAAAAATAGAGCATGTTTCTACATAGAACAAGGTGTACATACATAAAGATCACAGTCACACAGCATCAAAACCTTGAATTCCTCTCATAATTTCCAGGATATCACAAACTCAATTAATTAAGTTAATCAATCCTTAAACCTCACGTAATTCCTGAATTGAAACCAAAATATAAATTAATAAAATTCAAGACGAAAGTAGACTTTTACTCCATTTTTCTCAACAAAGTTAATTCATGGAATAACTACTGCTACTTGATTTTGCCCTAAATTAATAAAATTCCCAAAAGAAAACAAAACTTGATGTCAAACCATCTCACAAAATACAAATGTATGTTTCTATATCATAACTTGACAAACCCATCTACTTTTCTTTCTTTTAAAAAAATAATAAAAAAGCTTAATTTCTTAGCTTAATTAATAGTAAATCAAAGAATCAGAAGAACAAGGGAAAGAAAGCTTGCCTTGCGTTACCGTTACCGTACTGAGTTTTGTTTTGGAAGCCAAACAAAGAAAGAATGAATCTTTTTCATAGAGGCAGCTCTGCTACTATTTATTAACAGTAAAAGTTGGGGTTTTTGAAAAAATAGCAGTGCTAAAACGGAGGCGCAGCGCTCGAGAAATGGAAGGAGAGATTTCTTTATTTTAAATTAATTTGTTTTAGTATTTTTATATTGTTATAATAAATTGACATTAACAAAAATTATAAAAAAATATTTTAAAAAAATTATAAAACATGGAGTGGGATAAGAAAAACTGAAAAATTGTAATTAAAATATTTCTTCAAAATTAGTTTTTTAAATTGATATTGAGTTTGAAAAATAAAAAACATAAATAATATTTTTTTTCTTGTATATAAAAATACTTTTTAAAATAAGTAGAAGATTAAATTTATTTTTTAATATATATATATATATATATTATAAATTTAGAGGACATTAAAAATTGAATATACAAGTTCTCTCTTTTTTATGTTAAGAATATAATATTTTTATGATAATTTTTATGATAAATAATTATATACCTAGTTTTCACTCTAGAGAAAAGGAAACTAAAAAAAAAAAAAAAGAGGAAAGAGATCAAGCCAAAAAAGAATAAAAAAACATTTTATATATTTTTTTTTATTTTTTATATTGATATATTAAAATCAGACAAAAATATTTAAAAATATTAATTTAATATTTTTTATTAAAAACATTTAAAATTTTAAAAAAGCTAATTTATTTTTTTTCTTAATATTTTATATTTTTTAAAATTTATTTTTAGTAATTTTAAAAATATCAAAATAAATTTTTTAAAATAAATTAAAATACAATTGGACTCCAATCCTAAACAAAACCGTTCTCGTTGGATGAAACAAACGCAGAAAAGTAGTGGAATGTAAAAATAAAAGTATAAACACTCGATGGGAAAAATTGAAAAGGCGATGCACTAAAATGGACTGATCAACTCTAAAACAAAGTGACGACATCGTTTTCAGATGACCAACTTACTTGGAAGCAGCGGAAGCATTTCCCTTTCTTATTTCACTGGAGGGAAGCAAATAGGAGTAGCAAGGCCACAAGGATTCGAGAGGGAGTGAGAGGGAGATGGCGTTGATAATGATGAGATCAGTAGAAACGACTAGGAGAGGCTTCTTCAAACTGAAGCGGTCTTCCAGTGGTATCCGGGCATTCTCATCCCTACTAACCTCGCCGCCTTCCAAGGCTGTCGTCTACGACCGGCACGGGCCGCCTGACGCCGTGACAAGGTATGTGTGCACATATGTATCGTATATTTAGTTTAATGATGAATGTTAAGTGGTTGGGTGGGTGGGTGCAGAGTAATAGAGATGGAAGGTGTGGAAGTGAAAGAGAAGGATGTCTGCGTCAAAATGATGGCAGCTCCAATCAATCCTTCTGATATAAATCGAATTGAAGGAGTATACCCAGTGAGGCCACCTTTGCCTGCAATCGGTGGATATGAGGGTGTAGGAGAGGTGCTTTCTGTGGGCTCTGCAGTGAAGCACCTCTCTCCTGGCGACTGGGTCATTCCATCTCCGCCTTCTTCTGGTAGCTGCCCCCCCCCCCCCCCCCCCCCTTCCCATATATATATGTCTTCATTCTTCTTCTTGCTGTTGTTATTTTTCGTTTTTTTCCACTGCAGGAACGTGGCAGACTTACATTGTAAAAGAGGAGAGTGTTTGGCACAAAATCAGTAAGGATTCACCGATTGAATATGCTGCCACTATTACTGTCAATCCTTTGACTGCTTTAAGAATGCTTCAAGACTTTGTCACTCTAAATTCAGGTACTGTATCCATCCCGTATCTATTTTTCCAATTAACCTTAAAATTTCGTTTTTGTTTTTGTTTTTTATTATCAAATACATCATTGCAGGAGATTGTATAGTGCAAAATGGGGCTACGAGCATTGTCGGGCAGTGTATCATCCAGCTTGCACGACTTCGGGGCATCCATAGTATCAATATAATAAGGGATAGGTGTTGTTTCAGTTCAAAGCCTTTTAGTGTTACTTTTCTAGTTTATTTAAGCATTGTGTGCCTGTTTTTGTGCACACTCTCCATGCCATTCCTACATTTGTGTTCGGTTTCTGTTGTTGCATTTGCTTGGTGTAATAGATTTGCTTCATCTTCCTCTGGAGTGATGAGCAGATTTGATAAAATGAACTCCACGTTGGCTTCTTTTTTTTCCATTAAATTTTGCCAAGGTGAAATTCAATCAGACTTGGTGTACTCACAGACCAAGAAAGGTTCATGAGCTCCATGTTACCAAAGACTGCTTTTACCAAGGCTACTTTCAGCACAACACTGCGATACCAAAAAAGTCCTTAGCGTAGCATATAATAACAGCTTTTGCTTGGTTTCCTTGAAGGAAACAAAGTTTTCAACGGATGACCAAAATATGTTCTGCCTTTTAGAATTCCCATGTGCATCACTTAGGGCATATGTGCTTGGATTAATAAGGAGTTATGGCTTTATGATGATTTACATACCAAATCATAATGAAGTTCTAATTTAGTAAAAACAAAGCATGCTTGTAAAGCAAGGAGGATCTCTATGATTATGCACACTGTCAAGTTTTTAAGCCTGTGAGTGTGAGATGAAAGGTCTGTTTGGTGACTTCGTATCATCTGATGGTTTTTTTATTATTAATGTTTTAATGCAATTTCTGCCAGCTGACCTTCATTTACAATCTTCTTCATCCTTCAGGGTTGGGTCAGATGAAGCAAAGAAAATGTTGAAAAGACTAGGAGCTGACGAAGTTTTCACTGAGAACCAATTGGAAGTGAAAAGTATTAAGGGTCTTCTGGTATCATTATCATCTATACACTCATTATGGTTGATAATTTAGTATATAAAGTGGGAGGTGTTTATTCTTTTTCAAATGTTTTTATACAAATTTATTTGTTAGACAAAGAGCAATTCATGAGGTGTTTCATTTTTTTCATGTCATTTACATACTAGACTAACTTGCCTGAACCTGCTTTGGGATTCAACTGTGTTGGTGGCAATTCAGCTTCTTTGGTTCTCAAATTCTTAAGGTGTGGGCATTCAATGATAAATTATCTAGGAATTTTACCTTTGTTTCCTTTTTGTTTAACATGTACGTTTCCTTTTATTATTATTTCTTCATTGCAAAAATATATATTTCCATCTTAAACTCTTGTGCTCAGGCATGGGGGAACAATGGTGACATATGGTGGAATGTCAAAAAAACCTATTACAATATCAACATCATCCTTCATTTTCAAGGTAAGGAGTGAATTTCCTTGCAAGTGAATATGTGATAATGTGGCAATTATTGAAATTCAGAAACGGCATTTTCATAAGATGGGTAAATTTATAAGAAACCCTTTTGAGGGATCATGAAATTACAGAGATTGTCCAAAAGTTTGAAATCCTTCACTTTTAAGATAATATTACATAAACCCCTTTTTATTCCAAGACTGCTCTTAATTACTTTTTAAAAAGATTGTAAATTAAAAATAAATTATGAGATTTTTTTTTTTTTAGGATGTAAAAAATGGATGATGACAGCATATGGATTCTATGACTTATTTTCATGGACTTGAGTCATGAAAAAATAAATTGAGTGTTTTAACACCAGAGTTCAATTTTTCTATTGTTGTTTCTTACTTTTCTACGTTTTTGCTGATATCTTAGATAATTATTCATAACCTCAATTCAAGGCTTGAACCAGCTCTTAAATCTTCTTGTAAACCCTGAATCCTAAACAAATCCTAACAATCTTTATTTCATATGCATCATGCATACCCTAAACAGGACCTGGGATCTACTTCTATAGTGAGTGTTTGTTTTTGCATTAAAACTTGATTTTCAAATTGTTTTTTCATGTGAAAAAACATTAAATTGATGTGTTTTTGGGTGTTTTTGGATGATTTTGATGTGTTGATATAAAAAAAATATGAAAAAAATCATTTGATGCATTTTCAATTGAAAAAAACTATTGAAAAGTTCTCCGCACCACAATGCCAAACACACACGTTAATATCTTTAGTGGAACATGTAAAGGTGAATAGTGGAACGAAATATAATTCAATGCAAGTTATATAACTTTTTTTGCTCACCTACTTGTATTTTCAAGCCTTAAACCTGTTTTGTAATTATCATCATGATCAATATTGCATGCCCAACTATGAAAATGGTTCCTTCTAAGCCCATAAGCAATGCTTCTGTGGTTCTGTTTATAATCCCTTGCTTGCATTGGTTACCTCTCTATTTTCTGTTGTCTGCAGGATCTTTCCTTGAGAGGATTCTGGCTGCAGAAGTTAATGAATTCTGATGAAGTTAATGAATGTAGAAATTTGATTGACCATCTTCTTTGCTTAGCACGAGAAGGGAAGTTGAAATATGAGTGCGTATTCGTTGTGCAAATCTTGTCACTTTTTCAGTAATTACTTGTGTTGTGCCAACTGATAATATTTACAAACCGGGTGGTGTACTGTACCTCTTTGCAGAATGGAGTTGGTCTCTTTTGATGATTTTCATACTGCATTGG